GAAAGAGGTGTTACTACTTAAGCAAAGAAGGCAGGGATGCATGTGATAGTTCATTTAAATGCTGCTGGGTCTCAAGAGTGATCATAGCCCACTCATTTGCCTGTCTGGGAAGTTAAAAAAATTGCTGTATAAAATGCTATATCCCTTCCTTTGCTGGTCCTTCAGTAAGCAGTTTAGCTAGGGATTTTTCTCACATCAGCTCTAAGTCCCCAAGCCCTGAGGCAACCCATAGGAAAAAAACCCTCTCCTTAGCCTGCAAGATAGCTAAAGTGTAGCTGTGGTTGTTGACTGTACCACTAAGAGCTGGCAGGAAGGCCGGGAAAGAGAGAAATAATTCCGTTGGCCAGTGACAATAAACATCAACTTTAATGAAAGGAGGAGAGACATTCTTTGGAATGATGTAAGTCCTTGCTCTCCACTCCGTTCCTCTCGAGGTCATTGACTGATTGGGTTTTGTCGAAGAGGAGAAAGTCAGCCAGACCCTTTTCTTCTGTATCCGACAGGCTGTTTTGCTGCAGGACATTGGCAGCCTGTTCTAACCAGCTGTGGATTGTTCGGTAGGCATTGACTGGCACCACCTTCGCTAGGTGAAGGTCCACCAGCCGTCAGAGCTCTCTTCTGGGATCACCCAGATTCTCCTCTCTGTGACTTTGTACAAAGAGTGGGTGTTGCCCTATTGTTTATTCTCCTTAACTGATAACCTATATGACCCACAAAAGTATAGATTATTTTTTCCCCACTGTATGGAGTCACATCAAATTTCCAGTAGATGCACCACAGCCTGGACAAGGTCCCAGCACAGGTCGATGTATTCTTCGTCATGCTGACGCGTTCTGAGTGGGCTACCACAGGCAGCCTACCCATCTGTGGCTAGTTATGTTAGAGGTGCTCTGTTTTCCATGTCCCATGCACCAAGATAAAAACAGCCAAGAAAAGAATCCAGTAAGACAGTTTAGAGATGATAGGCAGTGTCTGCTTTTGAGCTCATCTTAGTTTTACTGCACATCTTTCTTGACTTAACTTTATTCAGGCTAATGCTACTTCTCCCTACCCATAAGCTCCTGAGTTCACAGTCCAGGAGTTTTATCATTTGTCATTCCTTACCTCTCCATCTTGTTCAGAGCCATGCTAGATGCCTGGTTGAGTGAAAAACAGCTTTCTGGGGAAAATAAAGCTTTGTGTATGTTCATATTCTTATCAGTAAACTCCCTCTCAATGGAAGCTCTAAAGAGTGGCCTCTTGTGATTTGGGTTATGATTTGAGTTAGCAGCAATCTGAACATGGGCAGTTGTTCCAAGGTCATTGCATTACCAGAGCTCTCACTGCCAATCATTTTGTCCTGGATGGGCAGACAAACACAGAAGATAAAGGCAGCTCCTGTCCCGAGGAGCTTTTACTCAGGCTAACAGAAACAGTCCCATTCATGCTTCTGGTCATTTCTCACAAGGCATCGGTGGTTGAAAACTTCCTGAGGGCCTTGCTCGTGGGTCCTGTGACAAGTGCAATGCCATGAGATTGGTACCCATGTGTGGTGGCAGGGAGACAAAGCTATAAAGATCCCTATGGGGAGCAGCTCAAGGTTGGACAATTGAGGCTTTTAATGGTTGTGCATAACCAGCTGAGGAGCAAACAATTCAGTTTTCCTGGAGAAGCTGTGGAGTGTGAAACCTTTATAAAACCCCCAGGTATCTCGCTCCTCACCCAACTTCCCCGGCCTCAGCCCATCAAGGCCATTTGATAGAGAAGAGAATAGTCTGGATTCTCCCAAACTCCACCTGACAGTCTAAATATACCCACTTTGGCTCAGAAAAAGAGCTTAGTTATTACAGTGGTAATCACAGCATGAAAACTAGTCTACAGCAAAGCAGATAAGTATTGATTGTAACACCCAAGTTTCATGTCACAGCACAAAATGAAAGGAGATGGGAAGGCTTGTCAAATATGCCAGTCTGATTCTCCCTAGAGGGTGCTAGAAATTCTCATTGAGTCTTAGAGAATTCACCATAGCCTGGGAAGTTCAGAATGGATAGAGAATACAGAATAGTGCCTGCACGCTCTGTGTAATTGAGATGGTATACATATGTTTATAAACAGCTGTAGAACTCATCGCCATGGAAAGTTATTTAAAGACGAGAACTTGGCAAGACTCAAAACAGTTTATGTGTTCCTGAGGATAATGCGAACAAATATGGATATTCTTGTTATTCGCAACAAAAATGTTGTAAAGG